TCAGTAATATGTGCATATACATACACAATATCAAAATGCAAATTAAATTTCAGGATTCGCTGGTGTCTGTATACCATTTTATTAGCTTGCTTTAACAAATGAAGGGTTAAGACTTCTCTGTCATATATATGCAGAGGAATTGCCACCTACCTAAGGAGACATCAAAAGCTTTAAAAAAAAAAAAAAAGCTTACAGCCAGTTATCGTGATTATTATGCCAACAGGATACCGGCACAATTGTGTGTGTGTATTTTTGAGAGAATTGACCCTAGCTTAGTGCCCCTACATGCCCCGAACTGGACCACTCACTTGCCACATGTGAATGAGTAAGTGACAATAATAAATTGAGTGTGTCAATTGACACCCAGTTAATAAATACTGTTCAATATTTGACACAGAACCAGCACCAGTTACTCCAACAGAGTATAACTGTCATGGTGCATAAACTGCTCCTTTAAACAGCTGTTTAATGGTCAGAACACAAGGTTTCCTGTAAAGAAGTCAGAACGCAACAGACACATGAGTCAAGATCTGCTTCTCTATGCTATGCATATTCTTGGCAGGACTGGTAAACTTGATGGCCACGCTAAATCAAATTATTTGTGCAGCTGGACAGTGAGGTAACAGGGGCAGATTTAAAGGAACACTATAGGGTCAGGAACCCAAAACATGTGTCCCTGACCACATAGTGTTTAAAAACACCATCTAGTCTTCTGCCCACCCTCCCATAAACCCCCTAAATCTAGTAAAAGCTTACCTTTATTCAAGTCTGCTGGTGATGGCTTTGCCCCTGATCTGCCTCCTTGGCGGACATCATCAGGAATGCCGATCTAAGCCAATCACAATGCTTTCCCATAGGATCTTGTATATTAAAAGGTATAAATGGAGGAGGCTGTTTTGGATTCCTAGACCGTTATTAAAGTTATAGTCTCGGCAGATCGTATTTTGTAAAGTTTTAGCTTTAAAACCATAACTTGCTTCTGCAATATTTGTCCTATAATTTCCAAATATTAACTGAGCTCCTAACAAAATGTATAGCAATTTAATAAACAGGACCAATAAGTGAAAATTTCAATGTTTTCTTATGAGAAGAATGGGATGCATTTGTATGGGCATCAGGTCCCCGAATGTTCCTCTGTGACGAGAATTAGGCTAAGCATCAGCAGAAGAAGCAATGCCAGGGAAGGCGAAGGTGAGCAGCCAAGGCAGCCTGGATAAGGGCGAATTAAAACCTTTGTTCTAATGGCAAGGAGGGGTCTGAATCTAACTAGGGAAAGTGACACTATAGTAATACAGCTTTGTATTCCTAACACTAAAGTGTTCCTCTGCTTTGCCCCCTCCCTCCCCCCCCCCCTCTTACCACCACCCCTCTACCCCCACAATGGCAATTTAAGGATTTAATAACCCCTTAAAACATTTAAACGAATTCCAGTCCCTCTGCACTGGCTCGGTCTCCTCCTCCAACATCAGACCAGGGGGGAATCTAATGCTCATTAGGCTGTCCCCACAGTCCCATACCAGGAGCTGAAGATCTGCCAGAAGAAGATGGCCACGCAAGCAAGGGACAGGTTCAGGCAAGTAGAACTCAGCTTTACCTTCCCCACAGCACGGCCACCAGACCCCAACAGTGTTGTAACAGTCAGGGGTCTTTGCAAAATTTGTAAAGGCACCAGACAGTGATAGTGCCGCTTTAATGGGACAGGGACACTGCATCCACACTACTTCAGTGAGATGAAGTGGTCTGGGTGTCTATTGTGTCTCTTAACAGGAAAGCACAATGTAACAGCACAAGTTCAAAAATGCCTTAGTCATGAATGCAAGGAATTTCAGAAAAGACACCTTTCATAAGTTCGGTACATAGTAACAATAACAAACCAAAAGAAGAACACTCAAAGAAAACAATAAAGGCCAAATAATTTAAACATGCAGTTGTGATTTGCCCAAACCCTGTATTCCCGGAGTGCTGTCCACTCAGCAATTTAGATCAACAAAAGGCTTTACCAACCCAACACAGAGCTTGATCGGGGTGAATAAAACAATGGAGGTAAGGGGAAAATATATATATATTTGCTTTCCTCTGCTGCACTTTTGCTGCCGGCTGTAGAGGTTATGGTAAGAGTACCAAAGTGCCCTCCAAGAGTAATTTGTCACATAAGGAAGAGCATACTCTTAGCTTTCTGACTGACAGCTGGGGAAGGTACAATTTAAGACAGAGGTCTGCGGCCCCCCAGATGTTGCTGAACTACAACTCCCATGATCCCCTGACTATCTGTTTCATTGAAAGAATCATGGGAGTTTTAGTTCAGCAACATCTGGGAGGCCGCAGGTTGGACAGCCCTGATTTACGAGAAAGAGGGGACACTCTGTTAAGCTCTTAAAGGATCACTATAGGGTCAAGAACACAAACATGTATTCCTGACCCTATAGTGTTAAAACCACCATCTAGGCCCCCTGGGTCCCTCATGCCTCCATAAATATAGTAAAAATCTTACTGTATTCAAGCTTGAAGCTGTAACTCTGCATGCTGTTAGACTCAGAAAAACAAGCTGTGTGCCGACATCAGAAGTGGTAGCCTGATCCAATCACAATGTTTCCCCATAGGATTGGCTGAGACTGACAAGGAGGCAGATCAGGGGCAAAGAGCCAGCATGATTCAAACGCAGCCCTGGCCAATCAGCATCTCCTCATAGAGATGAATTGAATCAATTAATCTCTATGAGGAAAGTTCAGTGTCTGCATGCAGAAGCAGGAGACACTTAATGTTTGGATGCATTTTAAGCAGCCATGAACCAGGAAGGATCTCTAACAGCAATCTGAGGAGTGGCCAGTGAAGTTATCACTAGGCTGTAATGTAAATACTGCATTTTCTCTGAAAAGACAGTGTTTACAGCAAAACGCCTGAAGGTAATGATTCTACACACCAGAACAAATTCAATAAGCTGTAGTTGTTCTGGTGACTATAGTGTCCCTTTAAGTACTACAAGCAAGCTTAAGTGCTTTAGATGTTCTCATAAGGGCTTAAAAGGACTCTCCAGTGCCAGGAAAACAAACCGTTTTCCTAGCACTGCAGGTCCCCTCTCCCTCCCACCGCCATCCCAAGTTGCTGAAGGGGTTAAAACCCCTTTAGTGAGTGACTTACCTGTATCCAGCACCGATATCCCTCGGTGCTGGTTCAAAGTCCAATGACATAATCCGGCGGGGGAGACTGATTGCACATGCGCGGCCGGCAGTGGGGAGAGACCTAATGCGTATGCGCGGCAATACCTGGCCAAGCGCATTAGACCTCTCCATAAGAAAGCATTGAAAAATGCTTTCCTATGGGGATTTCAGCAACGTTGGAGGTCCTCACATAGCGTGAGGATGTCCAGCGACGCTATAGCACACGAAATGTGTATAAACCCGGAAGTGCCCTCTAGTGGCTGTCTAGTAGACAGCCACTAGAGGAGGAGTTAACCCTGCAAGGTAAATATTGCAGTTTATGAAAACTGAAATATTTACAGTTGCAGGGTTAAGGGTAGTGGGAGTTGGCACCCACACAACTCCAATGTGCAGAAGAGGTCTGGGTGCCTGGAGTGTCCCTTTAATAAATGTTCGCTGTCATACATGTCTCTGCCATGGAATCACAAGGTGAAAACACTAGACTGTCACAAATTCCAATTACTTAAAAAAAAATAAAAAATATGAAAACTCTTTATAGAGTACAAAATGACAATGTGATTTCATCTTGGATCTGCAAACCATTAACAATAACCATATTAACACAAATATGCTTAAAATTTTTTTTATTTTTTTTAAATCCACATTTTTTCACCTTTAAAAAGGACTACTGAATTAAATTTAAAAAAGAATTTAAAAAAATGAAAAAGCCACACAAAAAACCCTCTCTAGACATAATACCATATTTTCTTAAACTGTTTACTGTAAGAACTGCTGATAAGGAAGATAAATACCATTTTGGTCAATCAGCACCTCCTTATAGAGATGCATTGAGCAGCACTGAGCCAGGAAGAACCTTCAGTGGGCATCTGAGGAGTGGCCACTTAGAGGTGTCCCCAGGGTTAATATAAACACTGCATATTTCTCTGAAAAGGCAGTTTTTGCATTAAAATGCCTGAAGGCAATGATTATACTCACCAGAACTACATTCAGCTGTAGTTGTTCGGGTGACTATAGTGTCCCATTAAGTCAAGCAAGGGAGAGAGAATACTGTAACTTCAATATAGTATATTTTTAACACACAGCATACTTATTATCATTTAATGCCCCAAACCTCCCACTAAGTTCTCAAAGGCAGTTATATTTTCAGCTTGGCTACTTTAGTTTAAAATGATAAATTCACCTTGAATTCCCAACAACTAACACATTATTAAATAATACAGCTCTAGTGTGAATTAATGCACAGGACAGGGAGTTTGACGCACAAATATATCAAGAGTACGATTGTCTTGCAAAAAAACAATGAGAGAGCAAAATAATGTCAATCACTATTTAAAACATGCTATTACAAAACCCATTACATTTTTTAGTCCTCCAACCCTTGCAAAAGTCTTGTCCCGGCTGACCATCATTAACGATCTCAGCCAATCCACTGCTTTCCCATAGAAAAGCAATGGCACTGCCGCAATGTGCCAATTAGCATCTCCTGATAGAGATGCATTATACCAACATTTCTCTATGGGTAGCATTTGGTGTTTTCACGCAGAGTATGAAGACGTTAAACGTTGGTCCTGTAATGCTTTTTCCACCAGAACCCCTACATTAAAGGATCACTATAGGGTCAGGAACACAAACATGTATTCTGACCCTATAGGGTTAAAACCACCATCTAGCCCCCCGGGCCCCTCATGCCTCCATAAATATAGCAACCTCTTACTGTATTCAAGCCAGAAGCTGTAGATCTGCATGCTGTTTGCCTCAAAAAAAAAAAAAAAAAGCTGTCTGCTGAAATCATCAGAAGTGGTGGCCTGATCCAATCACAATGCTTCTCCATAGGACTGGCTGAGACTGACAAAGAGACAGATCAGGGGCAGAGCCAGCATGATTCAAACACAGCCCTGGCCAATCAGCATCTCCTCATAGAGATGAATTGAATCAATGAATCTCTAGGAGGAAAAGTTCAGTGTCTGCATGCAGAGGGAGGAGATACTAAATGTTTGGATGCATTTTAGGCAGCCATGACCCAGGAAGGATCTCTAACAGCCATCTGAGGAGTGGCCAGTGAAGTTACCACTAGGCTGTTATGTAAACACTGCATTCTCTGAAAAGACAGTGTTCACAGCAAAAAGCCTGAAGGTAATGATTCTACTCACCAGAACAAATTCAATAAGCTGTAGTTGTTCTAATGACTATAGTGTCCCTTTAAGTGGTAGTGGTTCACGTTCTTAAATGTCCCTTTAATTGTATGTTTAATTCTTTTAGGGATAACTAATCAGTTTACAAATGAAAAGAACCAATCAAACATTTGATATAGTACTTGCTAAATATTCTGTTAACTGAAACAACTGAGGGAATGTACCTTTGGCATAAAAAATGCATATTATGTAAGAAAATACTTGTTTACTAATGTAGGATTCTTTATTCTAAAAAAATTAAATAAATTTTAATAAATGAAAAAACAAATTCTGATATAATATCCCTCAAGGTCATATAGAAAAATATTTGAACATTGAGATGGAAATATATATATATATATATATATTAAATAGTGAAAAGCAAATTGTACACAACAATGGCTCATTTCTCTACACAACATGTTGACGAATGCCACAAACAACCCGTACGAGCAAGCAAAACCTTAAAGTGTCTATCAGTAAAGCACAAGCAGTGTGCATTAACAGCAACTGAATAACCTGTTTCACAGGCAGTTGACCTGCAGGGCAACATAACAGTGACCTCTAGTCATGAAAGGATTACTATAAAACAAAGGAAAAGTGGGCCAGGCTCCAATACAATAAAAAAATTGTCATCAAGCCACTGATTTTTGTTTTTTTGTAAGCAAAATTGTATTATTTTTCTTTGATAGAGATGACATACATTTTTTTTCCAGTTAAAAGAGTTCATTTAGCTGCATACAGACATGTCAATGAACCATACTTATGGAATTTGGTTTACTACTTAGTCTATACATAATTTATCATTAATAATGTAATTACAAACTCATCATCATCTGATGTGAGACCAGTTACGTGCATCTTCCTCCATGAACATTTAGCCGTTTACATTTTTATTTTTAAATATCACTCTAGTGTAATTAGAATCTTAAACCATCACAAATTGTTAAGGACCCCCTAGAAGATATTTGGTTTTACAGTGACAAACACATTGTAACTTCCAGTACATGTATTAAAAAGCATGCTGGAAAACAACTAGCAGAGGAATGAAGATAGTAAACCTTGTTAGGAAATGAGTGATATCACCGTGAAAAAAAACTCATTCCATTCAGCAAACAGGGCAAACATATCTACTGCCATCTTTGTCAAGCTTATAACACTGATCTCTGAACAAAAGATATTGAGAAGATTTCACATGGAAGGCAAACACAGCATATTGATATACCATTTAAAACATTCACACCACGAGCAACTTAAAAATGTGCTTACTGCAGCCATCATATTAATTTTACTATAGGAAAACATTTGTGTGTACATTAGGTGGGGCTGGAAAGCAAGTAAGGATAAGAACAATGAGAATGATTTTCTTTGTTATTAAATGTAAGTATGTGGAGCCACCAACCTTCCTCTAAGCTCCTTCCGCTTGCCTTTTCGGGCCTTCCCCTCCTCCCATTCAATAACATTTACAGTAACAAACACACATCCAGGCTGTGTTTGTCAGGGAAGGATAGTGGAGCTCTGCAGCATTGCAGCACTTGGATACAAACACAGAAATAGATAGAAAGCAAAAAAGGAGGCAGGAAACATTCCTGGCCAGGCTGACTTTAGCTGTTTTCCTTCCCAATACCCAAAGAGCCGTTGCCAATCACTGGTTATCTCTATTAATATAAACGTGGCAGTGAAACAATTCGATCAGTCAGCTCATTGCCACAAGGCTTTACTAATGGTGACTTGCAGCAACTTAACAACAATGCTTAACTTCATGTCAGAGACCCATTTTCTTTTGCTGCATTGCAGACCCCAGTCAGCAAAATGGTTCTTTAATACAGCTTATGATTAAAAACCACTCTGCAAGAAAAAATTAGCTATTAATGCCTGAGGGATTTTTATTGTACCTTCTAACCAGTAATCCAAAGGCTTATACAAAGAAGTTTGTATTCAAGACAACAAGATTAATTAGAAATGTTGAACACAGGCAATCGGTGGCCTAGTAAGCATAGCTGGACACTACTAACTTTAAGCATACAATGCTTTTTGACAGGAAGCGTTACCCAATGCCAACCAATGGCAGGATCAATAGTCACCCACTGAAATCCTTAGATCAGGGCTGGCCACATGGTACAATCTCCCTGTCGTTGTAGAATTACAACTCCAATTATGCTTTACCACCCATGCCTTGGATAAACAAAACTCACTCTAGAATGTAAGCTGGTTTGAGCAGGCCCTCAACACCCTCTGTTCCTGTGTGTCTAACTCTTGTTGCAATTACATGTTAGTCCACCTATTATACAGTGCTACAGAATTTGTTAGCTCTTTATAAAGAATAATAATAATAATAATGTTATGCAGACTTATGGAATCAAAGTACACAATATACTTCCTTACAATTCCATGGCAGTGACATAACAGGGTTATTCACTAAAGTCTGAATTCTCAGGCATACAATGTAAATTACACCTGGTGTTAGGAATCTGCCAGGTGGCACAGGGTGTCAGCCAACCCTGGTGTGAAGGGGAGATGGTATGAGAGGTAGAGAGGGCAGAGGGTGTCACCAAGCCCTGGTTTGAGAGATAGAGAGGGCGTCAGCCAGCACCAGGTGTGAGGAGTAGAGACGGCAGAGTGCATCACCGAGCGCTGGTGTGAGGGATAGAGAGGGTGGTCAGTGTTAGCCCGGTGTGGGCATAGAGAGGGCAGAGGGTGTCAGCCAGTCTTGGTGTGAAGGGTAGAAAGGGCAGAGGGTGTCAGCCAGTCTTTGTATTAGGAGTAGAGAGGGCAGAGGGTGTCAGCCAGCCCTGGTATTAGGAGTAGAGAGGGTAGGGGGTGTCAGCCAGCCCTGGTATTAGGAGTAGAGAGGGCAGAGGGTGTCAGCCAGCCCTGGTATTAGGAGTAGAGAGGGCAGAGGGTGTCAGCCAGCCCTGGTATTAGGAGTAGAGAGGGCAGAGGGTGTCAGCCAGCCCTGGTATTAGGAGTAGAGAGGGCAGAGGGTGTCAGCCAGCCCTGGTGTGAGGGGTAGAGAGGGCAGAGAGTGTCAGCCAGCCCTGGTGTGAGGGGTAGAGAGGGCAGAGAGTGTCAGCCAGCCCTGGTGTGAGGGGTAGAGAGGGCAGAGGGTGTCAGCCAGCCCTGGTGTGAGGGGTAGAGAGGGCAGAGGGTGTCAGCCAGCCCTGGTGTGAGAGGTAGAGAGGGCAGAGGGTGTCAGCCAGCCCTGGTGTGAGGGGTAAAAAGGGCAGAGAGTGTCAGCCAGCCCTGGTGAGGTAGAAGGGCAGAGGGTGTCAGCCAGCCTGAATTGTGAGGCTGAGAAGGGGCAGGAGAATTGTCCCGGCCAGCCCCAGTGTGAGAGTAGAAGGGCAGAGGGTGTCCAGCCAGCCTGGTGTGAGAGGTAGAGAGGGCAGAGGTGTCAGCCAGCCCCTGGTGTGAGGGAGTAAGGGCAGAGGGTGTGCAGCCAGCCCTGGTGTGAGGGTAGAGAGGGCAGAGGTGTCCAGCCAGCCCTGGTGAGAGGTGTAGAGAGGGCAGAGAGTGTCAGCCAGCCCTGGTGTGAGGGGTAGAGAGGGCAGAGAGTGTCAGCCAGCCCTGGTGAGAGGGGTAGAGAGGGCAGAGGGTGTCAGCCAGCCCTGGTGAGAGGGGTAGAGAGAGCAGAGGGTGTCAGCCAGCCCTGGTGAGAGGGCAGAGGGTGTCAGCCAGTCTTGGTGTAAGGGGGCAGAGGGTGTCAGCCAGTCTTGGTGTGAGGGGGCAGAGGGTGTCAGCCAGTCTTGGTGTGAGGGGGCAGAGGGTGTCAGCCAGTCTTGGTGTGAGGGGGTAGAGGGTGTCAGCCAGTCTTGGTGTGAGGGGGTAGAGGGTGTCAGCCAGTCTTGGTGTGAGGGGGTAGAGGGTGTCAGCCAGTCTTGGTGTGAGGGGTAGAGGGTGTCAGCCAGTCTTGGTGTGAGGGGGTAGAGGGTGTCAGCCAGTCTTGGTGTGAGGGGGCAGAGGGTGTCAGCCAGTCTTGGTGTGAGTGGGTAGAGGGTGTCAGTCAGTCTTGGTGTGAGTGGGTAGAGGGTGTCAGCCAGTCTTGGTGTGAGCCAGTCTTGGTGTGAGTGGGTAGAGGGTGTCAGCCAGTCTTGGTGTGAGTGGGTAGAGGGTGTCAGCCAGTCTTGGTGTGAGTGGGTAGAGGGTGTCAGCCAGTCTTGGTGTGAGTGGGTAGAGGGTGTCAGCCAGTCTTGGTGTGAGGGGCAGAGGGTGTCAGCCAGTCTTGGTGTGAGGGGTAGAGGGTGTCAGCCAGTCTTGGTGTGAGGGGGTAGAGGGTGTCAGCCAGTCTTGGTG